GAGAGAGAGAGAGGGGTTACTGGTGTGAGAAGAAGCTGGAGCCTCTCAAAAGGGTGCAACGCCCGACGTGCAACACACGTGTCGAGTCCCGAAACCCGCGCCACCTCCCACCGCCAATTCCAAAGGAGCCGCGGCGGTGCACAGACGGCAAGGCGCGCCAGAGAGCCTTCGGAATTGGCCACTTACTCCGGGTCCCGCACGTAGTCGATCTCTCACACAGACCTGGCACGACGAGGATGACAAGTGGATAGCCTTGCAATGGGGGTATGTCTGATGCTGCAATGGGCGAGCAATGAGGCGATCAACGATGCGCTAGCGACGACGAGAATCGCTCCCGTGCCGCGAACGTTCGTCGTGGTGGCGCCGATCTTTGTCGTCGCTGCGATCGCGTCGGCTGCCACTGCCGCTTGCGCGCTCGCCTTCTCTATCTCGACCATCATCACGACGGCGGTCACGGTCGTGTTCGCGTTCGGAACGCTCTGAGCGACTGGAGTGGTGTTCGCGTTGGGAGCGCGGGTGGCCGTGTCTGCTGTCTCGGTCGTCGTGGATGCTCCTGCTTTGCTCGGCACTTCTGCGGTAGCGCCTGTCGTCGCCGTCGTCTTGTCGTCGCGACCTCTTGTGATCACGCTCCCTGCTTTCGTCTCGACGGGGCGAGCGAACCCTTTGACTGCGGTCGCGGCGATCCCGATCTTGCCTCGGATCCCGGCGCATATGCTCCGAGCTCTCGGCGCGTCCACCTTGATCGCGCGGTCGGTACGAGCTGGTGCGACTGGCTGCATGCGAGCCATTGCGAGAGGACTGATCGCCCCACTTGTAATGGCCGCGCGGCGCCTCTCTGCCTCCGTTGCGCTTCTTGACCCAGTCGCCGTGCAGCCTGCTGACGCTCTGGGAAAAGTCGACCCAGATGCGGCGGTCGTCGACGAGCACGTTCTGCATCTTGAAGTAGGCGCGTTCGGCGTCGTCCTTCTTGTCGAACTCGATAAACGCGTACTGGAGCGAGTCGCCAGTCTTTTTGTCCTTGATCACCTCGCACGACATAATCCTGCCAAAGCGCGAAAAGATGAGCTCCAGATCCTCGCTGCGCGTGACCGGATTGAGCTTGCACACAAAGAGGATGTTCTCCGGCGGGCGGATCTCGGCAAAGGGGAGGTCGCCGACCATTTCGAGCGTCAGCGCAGCCGCGTTCGTGTCGGCATCGCGTCGCTGCTGCTCCTTCTCTGTCTCGTCGCGCTCTTCGCTCAGGTCCTCGTCGTCCGCAAGCCGCAGCGCGTGAAGCTGCGAAGGAGTGGGCGAGGGTGAGCGCGATGGCGGGCTGAAACCGTCCGGGTCTGGAAAAGGATCTTCGAGCACCACGACGTGTCGGATGCGGATATCCTTGAGCGGCCGCTTCTGATCATCCGTAAATGCGGCGTTGATCTTATCGAGCGTGCCACCGGCCTCTTGCCCTTCGACCACCGTTCCGAAAGGTACATGCTTGCCATCCAGATACTCGATGTCGTCCTTGAGCGTGATGAAGAACTGCGAACCTGCCAGCAGCGCCACCCCCTCATCTTCTGCATGCTCCTGGCTGCGGATACATGCAAAGGAGACAGTGCCCTTGCTGGTATGCTTGAGCGTCTCGTCGGTGTCGGGCTGGAACAAGCTGCTGTCGAGCCGGTCGCGCGACGTGGAGGGAAGCTGCGACCAGATGCTGGCACCGCCTTTCCCCGTGTTGGTCGGATCGCCCGTCTGCGCCAGAAAGTCCTTCTCCACGCGGAAGAAGGCGTTGAGCTTGTAGAAGTGCTTGGAGCACAGCTTGAGGAAGTTGGTGCAGGAGCGCGGCGCCGCCTCGGTGTGCAGGTCGATCACGATGTCGCCTACCGACGTCTCGAGCAGCACGCTCATCGTGTGCGAGTCTCTCCGTCTCCCTGAGCACGCTTCTGTACCGACGCTGCTCAGCTGGTGTGACGAGTGGAAGGAAGATTCGATCTTTGCAGGGACGCGGCGTCAAGGGTCTTCCGAAATTGCTTCCTCGCTCAGTCGCCGCTTTTTGGCGGCCAAACCTCCACACGGTCCAAATCGGATCTCGGAGCTCCGCCTCGAATGGGCTGAGTTGGCCTTAGCGTCTTGGGCTCGCCCTTGATGCAACTCAGCCTCTGGGAAAGCATGCAGCTTGCGTCCATCTGACATCACACACGACAATGGTCGAGCCAGGCAGAACGTGCGCGTGTACACCTCGCTCGCTGTTGGTGCCCGCGGGTGGGGTGAAGACACTCGACCCAAGCCAGCGTGTGAGTTCGAAAGAGCTCGAGGCCAAGGATCGCGAGTGGCGACGACAGCAGGAGCAATCGAGCCAGCCGCACCGCTCGACGCCGCCAACCGGCTCGAACGATTCGCAGTCCACGGTCACGGCCAACGGGTCGCAGTCGCACAGCAGCGAAAGGCCAAGTGGCAGGGCAGGCAGCCTCAATGTGGAACCAAGGACCACCAAGACCTCGGCATCATCGCTGTCGGACTGGATTGGACGAAAGCGCACGCAGCCTCCTTCGGTCAACGAGTGATGCTCTTCGACGATGAAAGCAGATCGAACCCGATCCGCGTCAGATAAGTCCATCGTCCGATGTGGTGGCGCCGGCGGTCTCAATCAATTCATGCTCGTCCATATGCAGGGCCGCGCGGTCTTGGCTGCCATGCGCGGCCGACCCGGGACGACCGCCATGCTACTGTAGACCGCACCAGCGGAAAGCTGCAAACCTGGATGTGGATGTCGTTGCGGATCGCCGCCGTCTTGCGAGCAAGAGAAAACTACGTCCCTTGCGAAATCTCGCTCTCGGATAGCTGCAGATAGGGTCGACGGCGACGTTGCAGGTGGCGGGATGCTGATCGCCGTGCAGCGAGTGGCACGGAATTTCTTCAAGCCTGGCCGAGCAGACAGTCGCGCAACTACGTTCCGCCGCCCGGGATTTCTGATTTTGCGCCTGTATCCCGACCGCCTTCACTGTGTCGAGCTACAGTAAAGAGAAAATTGCCGTTCCTGCACTTTGGACCTTTCTCGGTGCGTGGCGGTTTGGTGGGTCCAAAGCGGCTTGGCAAGCTCGAGTTGAAGCTTGAGTGTCTGTCTCCAGCCTACGCTCGCACAGGAGTCCAAAGGAACCCGGGGGAGGGGGGGTAAGAAGAGCGGCTGAGCAGTCTGGGCGTGGCTCAGGGGGCAGCGCGAGAGAAAGCCTTGTTTGCGGGCATCGGCAGGGCAATGCATGGCTGATGGATCGCCCCCCACCGGCACGGCACACGCGGGTTTGGAAGCCCAACGTGTGCCAAATCCAGCTTCCATAGAGGGGGCGACGCAGCAGGCCCCGTGTTCAAGAACGCACGCCTTTTTTCGCGCCATTTTTGGCTCGATGCATGCGAGGCGGCCAAAGCTGGGTGTTGGGTTGCCTCTGCCTCCCGGTCTGCAAAAAGAATGGCTGCTTGGCGCGACTCGAACAACGCGACGAGCTTTGGCCCTGGGAAACATCGCCCGACCGTGCCAGAGGTTGGCTTTTGTCGGGTCCTTGCTCCTCCATCTCTGGTCGGAACGAGGAGAAAATGGTACCAAGGCAAAGAGAAAGATCCATACTATCGTTCTATGCGGTTGAATCAGGCTTGCAGGTGGGAAGAACAAGGGGAAAGGGGGCAAGAAGCTGAGAGAGGCAAAAAGGGAAATGACCCGCTACACATTCAGAGCGCGATCTGGCAACTGGCATGCCAGTGTGCGCGCAACCCTCGAGTTCCCGAGCATCGAGCCGCAAGCAAGCGCACGCGGCAATCAACGCTGCAAATCTCTCGCTGGTCTCGATCCGCGCTGCTTCAGCTAGCTGTCTGGGCTTGGCAATCCATGCTATCAGCCTCGCTGCCATGGTTTGGAGGTCGCGCTCTCATTCAGGAGTGTAGAACCAGAGGACGAATCTCCAATATATTCGCAGCATGGAAGGGTCGGGATGCAGCGGGCCGTCGTTCGCGTCGGACGTACGGCATCCAGGAATGGCGAGGAATGGCTTCCCAAATGAGGAGCAGGGGAGGAATGAGCAGCTGCACGCGACCGAGCGAGATGAGCGCCTCCGAAGAAAAAAAAAA